GAAACATGGTGGAAGTAATCTTCCAAGATACCCAGGTTGAAATGCTGGTCTGCAGCCATTCTCCCAGCGTTCAGGTTATAACGAAGACTGTGTCTTGTTACTTCCGTGAAAGTGGAGATTGTAAAAGAGGATTTAGTTGCAACAACCATTCAGCTTTAGTTCCAAGAGGAACTATTTCTTAAGGAAGGGGCAATGTCATGAAATTCCTAAGCCGATCCTGTCTAAAAGCAGTTTGGCACCGATTCATGCTCGAAACGACGGAATCTCCTAGGAATGCCGCTGACACTCTAGAAATGGCTAGAATGGGCGGAGAGTGCCGTTGAGTCAGAGATTGATATTGGTATAAATAGTCCGGCTCATCGGCGCGCAGTTTAGTTTAGTATAGAGTATTGGAGTGAAAAGTTAAATTGTAATAAATAAATTAGAATTGTAGGTAACCCAGACAGCACACCAAATCCTTTGGATATCTACTGAACATCCCAATATCCACTGAATGTCCAGTCCATGGTAGATATCTATTTTATATCCATGAAATGTAATTTATAGACATGCAAATGTCCATAAATAATAGTAATTATATAGCAAATTATTAAAAAATTACGCCATTGTGTTTGCCATTGTGGCTAATAGTACCGTTCAGATATTTAAAATGATTTTTTTTAAGGTGTATTCAATATCCCATGAACATCCACTAAATATATCAAAGTCTAGGAGCGAACGCAAACCATCGTGGATATCCACTAGATGTTATTTGATTCTGCTTACTAAGTATAGATGGCGATACCACTATCGCATCTACTCATGCTCGACCCGCTGTAATTGAGTTCGATCGAAATGTGTGTCCTAATCACTCCATTAGAGACTGGAGTCGAGCATTTTCATTTATTGCTGAAGAGTCCTAATAAGAATGACTTTCCCCTTAGTGGGCAAAATCAAAGGCAGAGTGTTGAAAATATTTTTTCTCTGCTATTTTCTTTCGACGTTATTCAATAATCATTGGTTACTTATGAACCTCTACTAAAGATACCCATAAAATATTTTGCTGAATATCCGAATATCTTCTATATCCTGGGATATAGACGGACATTTGGTTGGATATCCATATTGGATATATTGAATATCCACAAAATATATTCTGTGGATATCTCTGTGATTTCTTGTATTTTCTGGAAGATACCCATAAGATATTTTGCTGATTATTTCCCTTGTTTTATATTAACCAATAAAATGGCACTATTTTTAAAATTCAGACCAATCGGATTCAATTATCAGCGACTATTTCACTAGACCAAATATCAGCGACTATTTCCCTAGAGAAATAGTCATTGAAACGTCACTTAAAAATGTCAAATGCTTCTGTCAGTTTTTGCTCATGCAGTTCTGTCACAATTTAATAAATTATAATAAAATGGAAAGATTCGGTGTTTTTGATAAAAACTCTATAGAAAAAGCTGTAAAATCTTTGGTACCTACGAATACGGTACGAAGTAAAAATAGTATCTGGGCTCAATTTACCCAATTTTGTACGGTGCGTAACTATACATTAGATGCACATACATCAGAAGGTGAGTTAAACAATATTTTGAAAGACTGGGCGTGGAACATGAAGAAAACCAATGGAGAAGAATATAAAGAATACACATTAAAATGTATGTGGAATTCCACAGCTAAAAGTTTGCAAGAATTATATTTTAATGAACATGGTATTTCTATCGATCCCTTTCAAGGTATTACGTTTAAAAGCGCAAGAGAAGCCCGTAACGCCAAAAGGCGCGAATTACAAAAGCTCCCCGAAAAACGAAAACAGAGCTCAACAGCTTTAGACATGGCCGAATTTTACTCAATAATTGATAAATTTGATGAAGAAACACCCAACGGCTTACAAAAAAAGTTTTACTTTATAGCATCTGTAGAGTTGGCATGGCGAGGAGGTGAAGGAGCAATGTGTTTAACGGATCATTTCAAAATAGAATTAAAAACGGATGGAACTGAATCTGGAAGAATAGAGTACAATCCAGTTTTTACGAAAACATGTCAAGGTGGCAGCAAAAAATGTGCCGAAAGCAAGTGGCTTGTTACTAATACCAATAATCCTCGCAGGTGTCCAGTAAGGTTATACAAAACATTAATATCTAAACGAGGCCCAAACATTACGTCCAACCGATTATTTTTAACAACAAATAAATTTTGGTTTAAAGATAAGTTTGTCCAGTGGTATAAAAATCAACCAGTCGGTAAAAATGAGTTGTCAAAATGGACAAAAATAGGAGCAGAATCGATCGGTGTGAATACCAAAAAAGTAAAAATTTCCAATCATTCGTGCCGCTCAACTGCCGTTTCACAATTAGCCAAATCTGGAGTTTCTGAACAAGAATTAATCAAAATCACGGGACACGGAAGTTCTTCGTCAATCAAGCCTTATTTACAAATGGATGCACAGCACCACCAAAATATTATAAATAAAATGAGAAGTTCTGATGAAAATACTGTAAATGTAGCAACATCATCTAATTATGTTATGAATCAAGCAAATTCCGCACCTTCAGGATCAAAAGAAGAACGACTGCAGAAAAGTCAATATTTAAACAATCAAACAGGCGCGACCTATAATAATTGTGTTTTCAACTTTAATTAATATTTGATTTAATGTTCGATTACTTTAGTTGTATTCCTGATGTTTGTGTTTTGTTAATAAAGTTTTTCTAATTTACTTATCCAAAATTTATTTTCGCGGGAAATAATCTTCCCAAATATAACACGACCTTGATTAATACTCTGCTATTTTTGTTGTTGCTAAATTTCTTGAATATTTTACAATTTGATTCGACATCATTTTGGCATTAATAATCAATTGACTAAAGCCCTCGAGCTAAAGCTCTCGGGCTTTAATCAGATTATTAATGCCGCAATTATGTCTCATCAAATTGATATTAAAATATTCTCGAAATTTAGACGCAACAAAAATAGCCGACTATTTATCAAGGTCTTGGTATATTACCCTTGAATATCCATTAGGATATCTTCTATATCCTGGATATAGACGGACATTTGGATATCCATATTAGATCCACGGAATATTTCTGATATCCTGTGGATATATTGGATATTCACAAAAGATATTCTGCGGATATCTCTGGGATTTGGTGTGTTGTCTGGGAAGTGTCTAAGTTTTATATAAATTACATAGTACGTCATAAATAAATTGTTAGTGTGTTTCAAATAAATAAACTATAAGACTATCGCCACAGTATAAAAACGCGAATAAAAAATAAATCTAATTCTATCACTTTTTTGTAACCAGATTTCTAATAAGAAACCTGTTTTACTCGTTTTTACTGGTATATAAAAAAGTGCAAAATGTTTTTAATTTTTTTTCTACTACGAGGAAAACAGTGGTTCATTCCACTTGTACCATATTGACATTATGCCCGTTAAAAGTGGATCTGTCACTGTTTTTATAATACTATTACGGCAGGACAAACGATAACCGAACAATAACGATAACCGAACGATAACCAAACGAACAACAGAAAAGTGTTGCCAACTTAAGCTGACTACTATTTCTTCCTTGCTCAGTCACCCCCTCATCCATTTACTGGGTCTATGTCACATACTTATAATAGGTATACGGAGCAAGAGAGACGTCCGACCTGTTTAACATAGGGGCGGCCATTTTTATACAAGATTACTAGTACATAGGTGACCAGAAATACAGCAATATGAAAACTTGGTTGCAGATGTCTAGGTCTTTTCACTTTTAAATACATCATTTTGTACAGATTTTTTAAAAGAAATAATACAATATTATATCTGAATTAAATTTTTATTCTACAACAAAAAAAATATTTTAATGTTTAAAAATACATGTTAGGCTGATAAATAATAGGCCGACAAATAATAGATTAAATACCTAAATACTAATTTTAAATGACAAAAGTAGTAGAGGAGTTAAAAATATTAAAATTTCCAGGATACTTTAAAATTAAATTGATGGTTGCATATTTGTTTTATTTTAAACAATTTACTTTCTTCTTGTATAATTTCTAAAAGCTACAAATTTTTAGTGAACGGGTCGTCCTTATTGATTCTGCAATGAATTGTACTAACAACTTAAAATAAATTTTGTACAATCTCTATATGGCAGATAACCACAATAAGGAACGATCTGCTTGTTTTGGAACCCTAAAATCATATAAAGACACTTCTTTCATATCCTTTATTTTTGCTAAATCTTATTACTTGTGGAATGTAACATTTGAATCTATTGGCAACAGTCTTCTTATGTTCTTGCAAGATCTTACAAGACATCTTGAATAAAGACCAGTATAGAGAACTTATATACTGGGATTAAAGTCTATTCACAAATGTTAAAATAAATAAAACGTTTATATACTTAGAAAATAATATCCACAATCAAAATATTCTAAAATAACACAAAAAAATTTAACCAAATTCACAAACATTAAAATTTGACACTTTTGACAGATAAAGATAAATTGGTTGCATAAGTTTCAGTTTGTTTATATAAAAATGGCGGTCATTTCTATCTTCTTTTATTAAACACTCAGTAAAGATGCGCAGAGGGTTTTACGCCGTATACCTATTTAAGTATGTGGTCTATGTCGCAACCCCCTTAGATATATCAGCTCTGGTAGATACTGGCTTCAAACAAAGGGTATGTTAAATGGCGCCCGTTAGTTATTTATATTTCATTTGTTTATAAGATATCAACCATATTGAATAACGTTTGTAATTGAAGTAAATAAGTTTCTGAATTGTCACGAAATCATTTTAAATAAAAACCGCGAAATCTCATATACAGTCCATTGTATTATCGTACAACGACACTGATGTAAATTCTCGCAATAAAATTTAAAGTACATGCTGACCTCGCTGACCTGACTGCTGACTTTCACGTATAATGCTGTAACGTAGCTATACTCTTTACTATTTAATTGAAACCTAATCTATACCTACATAAAGAATTATAACAAACTTACCATTCATTTTGGATGCAAACTCTTTTTGATACATTCTGTACACTGCCGCATGAGCTTTAAGTACGTTGTAGGCACACTGATAGTCCAATACTCCCGATTTTTTTATAAATGGAGCAAGCGTTCCATCACCATATCCTGATTTGCAGATTTGCTTGGGTTCGTTAAATGTAATAAAATAATTGACATTAAACAAATAAGGGAAAATTTTTCTTGCATAGTCAACAAAAATATCTATGTTACTTGCGTTGGTCCAGCCTCCCCATTCCTGAATTATTTCCGGTAAATCCCAATGGTAAAGGGTTACTATGGGAGTTATATTGTTTTTTAAAAGTTTTTTAATTTGAGTTTGGTAGTGACCTACTCCCGTTATAACTTCTATTTCGTCCTTAAATACTCCTTCAGGAAAAATCCTACAAATTGTGTGTTATAAATAGATAGTTTTTAACTGTCCTATTGTGGTGCAGATAAATAGGCCAGTCATTAAATATAATCAATTCACATTAATTAATTTCTTAATTAGTATAAAGACAAAGACAATGCAATCCTGAGATTAAAGGTAGAAAAAGAAAGAAAAAGATCCTTTATATCTCACAAGATATATTTATTTTTCTACCTTTAATCCAAACAACTCACACATGGCTACCTCAAGTTTGAAATCCTGAGAGTTTAAAGCGTATTTATAATGGTAAGTTAGATAGAAGTTTAAATTTAACACTGTAAGTTTGATTTTGAACATTTTCAGATAATTTATTAACGAAAGCTCTTAGATAAATTGAAACTTTAAATAAGTTTTTGATTGCATGTTAACAATAAGTTAATTTTGTAAGTTTCCATAAACTATGGCATAATAAGTTTATTTTTCAAGTTTAGAGTGAGGTAGATTCAAACTTGTCAAAAGCTATCAATAAATATTTAACAAACTTGCAAGTAATCTTGAATTTATATTTGTAAACTTGCAATAAATTTGCAGTGAATGTATTTTGCTTACTGGGAAATGTTATACATCATTTTCTCTTCGCTCCACACTAATAGTATATGGAAATCGTACCAAAAAAGAAGTGTTGGCTTACATCAAATGAGGTAGTTCTGATTTTTACTTTCCTATCTGTATACAGATATAAGGAAAGTATAGGAATCATGATTTTTTTCGACCTCGAGTTTTCGACGGATTTTTACGTTTTGAGGTCCCCTAAATCCGTTTTGACTATTTTCGCGATGATGTCTGTGTGTGTGTGTGTGTGTGTGTGTGTGTGTGTGTGTGTGTGTGTGTGTGTGTGTGTGTGTGTGTGTGTGTGTGTGTGTGTGTGCGTGCCTGCGTGCGTGCGTGCGTGCGTGCGTGCATGCGTGCGTGCGTGCATGCGTGCATGCGTGCATGCGTGCGTGCGTGCGTGCGTGTGTGCGTGTGTGCGTGTGTGCGTGTGTGTGTGTGTGTGTGTGTGTGTGTGTGTGTGTGTGTGTGTGTGTGTGTGTGTGTGTGTGTCTGTAGGTCGCATAACTCATGAACCGATACACAGAAAAACACCAAATTTTAAACTTAAGCTTTATTCTAGCGTCTAATGAACTGATTAGATTTTGGGCAGAGTCGGAACATCTGGGGGGGGTACTTTATAGGTGGTCATTTTTATATTTTATGGAATATATCTGTTATTTACGTTTTGAGAAGAAAATTCTTCAAATAAAAGTTACTTCTAATATAATTATCTATAAAAAGGAACCAATAATATGGTTTTCAACAATCCCTGCCCAAACATTAACCTTTTGAGGGTATTGTGTATGGACCTCTCTCATCCACTGAGGATTTTCCGTTCACCAGTAGCGACAATTTTGACGATTAGCATGACCGTTAACGGACACAGTGCACTCATCAGAAAACATAACGTTTTCTAATTGGATGGTATTGTTATTCAACATTTCCATCATTTGTTCGCAAAAATTTGTTGTCCTATCAAAATCGTCTTCCATGAGTTCCTGAGTGCATTTTATTTTCATTTAATATGTTTAGTATAGATGTACGGCTGACATTAAATGTTGCAGATGCTTGTATACTCGATGTATGTGGGTTTTCCTCAAACTCAAGCATCATATCTAATTTGATATCATCACTCAGTGCATTGGCAGCTGTTTTTTTGATGTCCAAATTCGCGAAATTGCTTCTCTATTTTACTAATTGTACCTTGGAATATAGGCGGCAAATTCTTTTATGCATTTCTGTTAATCTAACCATTTTTATGAAATTCAAACGATAATTATAATATTGACAATATCCTGCAGTTATAATTATTACAAACCAATTTCCTAAGGCGTTTTAAACAAACTAACATTGCTATGATAGTTTTTTAAAGGATTTTTTTAAATTGATATTAAAAAAGAACACTGATATGGTTTTTGCTTAGGTACTATCTTATTACTTATTATAAAGACTGAAACGGGAAATAGTAGTGTAGGTACTCTAGAGAATTTCGGTAATAAGATGATTTAATTTTTTTTATGTTAATTTTTGCAATAAATTTAAAAACAATAACATTTTTGGATAGAGAATGAAGAGACCTTTCAAACGATATATCACAAGCCTATACTTCCCATTTGAAAAATTAGGGGTGGTAACTGTTACTCAAAGGGGGTTGAAGGTAGGGACCACATTTTCACTTCAAAGAATGTAAATTTATAATTTAAATTTGACGTGTTTCGGGATTTTCTATAAATATGTACAGTAATCGAAATAATGAATTTATTCCATTTGGCTTTTCCACACTGTATATTAAATATTATAATGAGTATTTTGGAGAAATTGGTTCCAGTTATGTCCAATACTTGCAAAATCACTACGGCTCAAATACAACTGTAGTTTTCAAAGGCTATCCGTCTGACGCATCAGACAAAAATACCAAGAGCTCTGAACGTCTATGTAGAACTCTAGCAACGTTTTCTCCTGATGTTATATTTGATAAACAGGGTCCCCGCAACTGCGCGTGCAACGCGTGCACCGCACGCGGGCGCACCTCTAAAGGGGCGCCAAACCGGAGGCCTGTATACAATTCGAATTTTTAATTTTTCTAACGATTCCAATGAACAAGGCACTAAGACACTATTGTGACAGAAAATATATCTATTTTTGAAATCAAATAGCTATTTAATTAGCGTTAATTATTAAATATAATAAAATCAAAAGGTTAGTTAATTCTGTGTGCCACATGCAATACCATGAATACCCGTATAAAGTATAAACTTGTCGATTTTTCCTGTCCAGACTTGAAGACTCATGTACGAACCACGAGTATAAATAAAATTGTAGGAGGCGTCGTAATCCAAATAGTTAATATTTTCTTCGGCTACGTGAAGGTCAAAAACCAAGACGCAAAGTTATAGTTATAAATATTCGACGGAGTGCTTTATATTTTGTGTTAATTGTGTTGTAATTAAATTTTAGGAAATGGTAAGTACCTACCCACATAATACCTATGTATTTGACTTGATTTATGCCCGATTCGCCTGTTCCCATTTCGCCTGACCAATTAAAATTTCCCGATTCGCCTGAGAAGCTCAAATTGTAGTATCGTTTCGCCTGACCATAAGTTGGATGGTGCGTACTTTTTTTATCATAAGGGCCATTTTCAAAATACATGCAAAATTTGATTTGATTTGAAACAAAAAAAAATGCATTTATTGACATTATTAAGCGTTTTGTACCAGTGTTTTTAAATCAATTATTTTTAAATTTTCTAAACCATCTTGATAATTTTTCCATTAAATCTTTTTTTATTGATATACTAAGTTCTTTTCTAAAGTAATGTGTAGTTGAAATTATTACTGGAGGAATTTTAGTTTTTAAATATATTTTTTGTTCTGGCCGGTTATTGGGACACATACAATATTTCTAAATTCAAATAGTTTATTCGCTTTACGCTTCGTCAATTTGAAAAAATGTTTAGTTTTTATTTTACTAACTTTTTACTATACTGGAAGCTCTATATTTTTTGTTTATATCAAATTAAATAACTATAACAATATTTTAATTTAATTTTATGTTCATTTCTTATTATTATTCATTTGTTAGTAATAGATTTCTTTACAGCAAATACATATTTATTACCTGAGCAGGTCAGGAGAATCGCAACTATTTTTTTCCGTTTAACATGTAGTCAGGCAAAACGCTACCAAAGCGTAACATATGTCACTAAAGGTTTCGGAAAAAAATTGAATGCACAATACTGTGGTTTAAAAAAGTTTTATTAAAACTATTTGTCACTACAATACTTAATATAATGTAAGCTTTAAAACTTATAATTAATACAGATATAGTGGCCCGTGTTCTTCTATGCGGCGCAGTTTCGTTCTGACTTGCCTCATAAGCACTTGGTAAGCTTCCAAGTCTACTTCGCGTACCTTCTAATAGATTTTTTTCTCTCCTGGGCTCGTCTGACTATGTGTCTCCGAATAACACTGAAGCCTATTGGCTTATTGTGTTTCACCCCATGTTAGTTCATAGCACCCACTCTATCACCTTTGTACCTTGTACAAGTTTGTACAAATCCTTGGGTGAGTGGGTTCTATACGTTGTTGGATCAACCTGGGGTTGTCCAAAAAGGGCCTGTCTTTTGCGATCTAGAGCTTCGCATTCGCACAGTACGTGTTTGGCCGTTTCTGGTTTCTTGTGACATAGTCGGCACATGAGTTCCCCATTGTACATGCCAATTTTGTTCAAGTGTCCCTTTACTGGGGCGTGCCCAGTCATGAACCCTGTTATCACTTTCAACTGGTTCCTATTCATTAAGAGTAGTTCTCCAATTCTCTTGGGACATGGTCTGCCTATGAAGGCTTTTCCATGTGCCTGTTTTGGGGTGCTTCCCCAATAGTTGAAATGTTGTTCCCGAATCCAGTCATTTCTGATAGATTCTTCTCCTCAATTGATCCTGATTTTGGGCTTCCCATCCATTGTCGTATATCTTTCTTGTAAGTAATGCCCAAACAGTTTCGATCGGTCTAGCCTGGGGTACGTTAGGAGGGTTGTCTTCACGAGGCACAAATGGTATGTGGTTTGCCTCTAACCACTGTCTTGTTGCGTGGGCATAGTGACATGAAGCTAGGTCAGGCCAAAACATTATTTCGTCGTTAGCATGATATAAATTAATAAAATCCAGTAATTTTGGAAGACAACTTTGTGTATAAACATTAGCGTCAACCGCCTGACCTCTAACACGACCCACATACGGTTTAGAAACGCCTGCTTCTGAAATTGCACACCACACCATGATTTTATCCTCAAACTTTGCCTTCGCTTTAAATTTCACATTATCAGCACAGTCATTAAAATTATCTGTATAGAATCCACTATTGCCAGGAATTTCCGGATTAGCAAATGTGAAGTATTTCTCATCGTCCATAATTATAATTTTATTATTGGCGAAGTGAC